CACCAATAAAAACCGCTTCTTGAACGAGTGCTCACTTCCCTCGCCAAAGGACCCTGTGACTCATTGGGAAGGTTATCGAACCCGATGTTTTTCGTTTCCTTACCTGTTTCTGTATGTTTAAGAGAAACGATTAAAGGTGGACTATATATACTGCCCTGAGACAGTCTGTTATTCCAAACTCCAAAAATAGGTTACGTAAATCGAGGCATTGCTGCTGGAGCTCTCTTTCAAAAAGTCTTTTTTCAAGTTTTAATCGACCCCAAGAGAACATCAACAAATGATGATCTTTTGACTTCCTGTTAGGTGACCTGTTGCCAGCCACTAAGTCATGACAATTGAGTTTACTGGCCCGTAAATATAATACACCGACTGTCAGTTAAGGAACCACCAATTGCGGATTACCATTACTTAAGCTTATCGCAGCCAAGCCACAGGTCTTCGCTACATATGGTTTTAATTGCAGAGGAAAGTCTTGGCTCGCTTGCTGTAATCTTTATTGTTATATTGCACGCCGGATCACCATTATTTCCATGTTTTTAATTTGACAAATAATCGAAATAAATATTTCAACCACTGGCTTTTTGTAAAAGAGTATATATTAGACCTGTATGCAGGATCATGATTGATTATCAGATACACTTAAGTGATGCCACTCATTCTGATATAATAATCACAGTCGACAGTGTTTATTTACTTAATATTCTTGTTGGTTCCAGTACCAAAGCAGCATTAATAAGAATTTAAAAATATTGAAATCATATTCACATACACATATAAACAATTACGTATACATACATACATGAATACGCGGGTGCGCGCACGTGTGTGCGTGAGTGTGTTCATATGTGTGTGTGTGTGTGTGTGTGTGTGTGTGTGTGTGTGTGTGTGTGTGTGTGTGTGTGTGTGTGTGTGTGTGTGTGTATGCATACATACATACACACACACACACACACACAAATTACTAACTAACTAAATAATAATATATATATATATATATATATATATATATATATATATATATATATATATATATATATATTACACACACTATTAATGAATGTATGCATAACTGTAATTACACCCCCTCCACACACAAATATACATTCACATGCACTTACAAATACACCCACGCACACACGTGTATGTGTGTGTGTAATTACTTTTGCATACAGTACATTCATAAATATATATGCATATATATGTGTCTATATCTATCTATCTACCTGTTTATCTAACTCTAAATATGAAATGCGGAGTTTGCGCGCGGGACGTCGGCGCCGCAGCTGATTCGGCCCGAAGTCTTCGCAAATCTCAATCAATCAATCCGAAGGCAAAAGCCCTTATCGGGTGCGCGTCCTCTCTCCATCCTTGTATTTTCCAGCGCTCTGTTTTGCAAAACCTCGTTACTTGCCCTCTCGAGAGCCCGGGTTTCTCTCGCGTTGTTCACCAATTCATGGTCTGTGAGTTCTTTTTCGTGAAGAGAGTTTACGCTATGGGTGATGAGCCAGCGCTTCTTCCGACAAGTAATTACGACGAAAGGGGTCAGCCACCTGCCGCCTCCGCCCGCGCGCCGTGCCAAACGCCGTGCTCCTTCCTGCGCCCGAGTCCTCATTTGCTATGCTTGATTTGCAGAATGCGTTAACGCCGCTCCAAGCTGAAGCAAGATGTGCTATCTTATTTACTGTCATTATTCTTTATTTCAATACTTCTCTTTTATCACTCTTTTAATAATTAACTTACATGTTTTCCATGTGAAACAAAACAAAATGGAAATGCATGGTAGACTTTCCAAAACTGGCGCATGGCCTTAGAATTACAGTAGTCACCCTTCGCCGCAGGTAATCCTCGGCTTTAACCCAAATACTACCAATGGCTCATGTCGAGATCGCCGCAGTGTTTTCTGCTGACTGTTTAACAAAAGAAAATAAAAAATAAATATATACACACAATCCCCCATCTACAGCACGCAAACCTCCTCCTTTTTCTCGATTCAGCGTCTGTATGGCGGAAATACAAGAAAATTTATGCTTGGTGTCGCGCGGAATTCACACAAAAGTTCACGCGACAACACTGGCGTGACGTAATCACATCCACTGCTGATGTAGGTTAAGCGAAAAAAATCGTAGATGAAATAGTGATCGCTTCGAAACCTTAATCGAATTTTGATTAGAGCACATTTTATAAGGAACAAACTCATTTCACGTCCTCAATAGTATCGTTATGCATCTGAAAGTGGGCTGTCATTGACCTTCAAGTCTCAGTTTACTCTCAAGGGTCGTTGACTCGTCTAAGTCTCCCTTTGCCCATGCCGCACAAGTCTATTATGGTCTAACTTACTTGTAGGGTTCGTAAAATTATCACAGTGATGTTTGTTTACTAAGAGAAGTGATAAACTAAGATTTAATTCGATGATATTCTTGATATTCACCACAGTGAGTAACTACGATTTTCATGGTGCCATGTCCCATTTTTTAAAAACTAAAGATAATGCGTATGATGTCTGGATTTCGTCTGAAGCAAAGATGAAGGAACTTAATCTCCTAACGTTCAACGTGCAGAAGTAATTTTTTCCTTGTCTCAAATACACTGTATCATTCTTGTGTACACACACACACACACACACACACACACACACACACACACACACACACACACACACACACACACATACACACACACATGCAGAAGAGAGAGAGAGAGAGAGAGAGAGAGAGAGAGAGAGAGAGAGAGAGAGAGAGAGAGAGAGAGAGAGAGAGAGAGAGAGAGAGATGTGTGTTATATATATATATATATATATATATATATATATATATATATATATAGAGAGAGAGAGAGAGAGAGAGAGAGAGAGAGAGAGAGAGAGAGAGAGAGAAAGCACATAATGAAGATGAATCCAGTTTATACTACTGTAATGCGAAATGCATCGGTAAAGGACCCATAACAGATTATTCATGTGAACCTTTTGTATGTTTGAGTCAGCTTTATAATACGAGCAAACAGATTTTACTAACAAATTTAGAGAAAACAGCTGACGGTAAGTTTGTGCAAAATTCGTTAACCAAGATGTATTTCTGGACTTTCACTTCAAAAATAACCAATGCAGAGTAACTCATTTCATTTTAATGGGCCTCAACATAAACTAAGGAAATCTAAGATCTAATACACTATGGACTTCCGGTTTCCCATTTAGTTTAGCAACAGTAAACTCACTAACTATTGTAGCACTGTCACATCTCTATGTATGTAATGTTAATTCAAATACAGTACGTGCTGCAAATGCGATTCATAGCACGTCCTACAATAACTCTTTGTGGCTGAAACATTTCCTTTGGTACCAGCGTTCTCACTGATGTTCCAGAGCGAATGTATGCATAACATGATATACTGTGCATGAGCCTGTTATCAACATCCCCCTCGTCGTTAACATTAGCTAAAGGAAGCGATCCCTACATGCAAGTTGATAACGACATTCATAAAGCAGACGCGCATGTATAAATATATAGTTCTACTCTTGTAATCAACGTCATTGGAGGAACTGTCATTACCCTCATTAATCAAATCGGTTCATCTTTAGACGGAAATCTTCAGTAACAATCGCTTAAGCCTACTGATCCGACCAAAACTTAACCCACAAAACGCGTAAAGTAGACGTGAATGGAGTCACGGGCGGATGGGCGGGGTCGGCAGAGGAATTTATCAAGACAGGGTGCGCTTGGTGGTACGGGGGATTCTCGAAAGGGGCGGGGTGGCAGGGGGAGGGACGGGGAGCGAGGAAGGGGGAAGTCCCGTTACCTGTGACGAGGGTTGCCAAGTGTAGCGGTAGATTCGAGACGCACAGGGCTACCAGTCACATATGGTTTCTCAGGGAACTCGCGAAGAACCACAGGCGGTCAATGCACACTGAAGGCGTATTACAGCGTGCTGTACATATGTCAGTAGAGTAGTAAGTAAAGTAAACGGTAGTGGGGTGAGGAAGATGGTGGGCGTTCTAGTATCCCGAGGACTCGTCTGCAACTTCCTTAACTAACACTAATAATAAGAACTATACACTTGTCAAGGGTTCTCAGAACATTTTTTTTACAATTCACAAGTTTTTAGTTTTTAAATGAATACACGAGCATGTGGGAAAATTAATGATCTTCTGCCCACCAACTACAATATTTGTTGTTCACAGAAGAGGTTATGACTAATGACTTAAGAGAGCGTAACTATTCACAATTTTTATCTGCCATACCTCTCCTCTCAAATCCCATCTCTCTCTCTCTCTCTCTCTCTCTCTCTCTCTCTCTCTCTCTCTCTCTCTCTCTCTCTCTCTCTCTCTCTCTCATTAAATGTAAGAAATATGATCTGGTTTATACTGTACACCACTCCCATCACGAATGACAAGTTCCTTTAATTGTTTTCTTCGACAAACCGTTTCCTAAATAGCCTACATTTTGGCACATTTGTTGGCTAATACGTGGCAGCGGGTGGAG